GTTGGACCAATTAAGACTGTTTAATAGGAATAAGGGATGATTTATGAAATACCTGTACTGTAATTATAGTTAACAATGACACATTCACAAATTGAGTTTGTAGTAAATAGAACTGATGAACACGAGTAGAGCAGCTGATGATATACTGAATGTGCATGCAGTTGCATCAGTTTTCGGATCACCAGTGAACAGAGAACCGTTTCTTTCGGACGCGTCCGATTTGAGAACCGATGAGCTGATGATACTGCGCATGCGTGATTCAGCGTGAAGCTACCGAACAGATTGCCTACTATGACTGACACAGCACGTCTGAACCGAACTGGTTCTTTTGAACAACTGATTCTGTGCCAATGGTAAACCGAGGACTTGAATGAAGGGCAGTCTGGCGAAACGTAAGTTTATTTAATAACAAATAAATCGCATTGGATTATGTATAGTAAGTGGATTATGGTTTCTGCGCTGATACGCGAATGACGTCATTACGTTAGGGCGTAAAAGAACCGATGAACCGTTTTTTTGAACTGGTTCATTGAAACGAACTGTCCGAAAGAACCGGTTCGCGGGAAAAGAACCGGACTTCCCATCACTACTCTTTATATGAATAATCACGTCAACATATTATTCCAAGGTTGTCCAGTTGCCAGATTTTGTATGAGACGCATCTTACTCACACAATCGACACATCATACAAATTTCAACCCATTTGTGACCTCAACCTGGCAACCTACAACCCAGTAGCAGACGCAGGAAGCTGAATCAAGCATTACTGGTAGAAATGGGAGGAGAAGACTCAGGTGGTGCTCAGCAGGGTTGCCAGGTTGTCACAGCAAAACCCGTCCAATTGCTACTCAAAACTAGCCCAATCGCTTTTCAGGGGCAATCCCCCAGTAAAAACCGCGTTCGGGGGGTAAAATTCAAATTTTTTGGTGGGGTTCCCCTGGTAAAAGTCGCATTCCAGGGTTAAATATCACCTCGCTTCAACCAGCGGACTTGGCAACACTGTGCTCAGGTGGGAAAAGGAGATAGCAGAGGCTATTTACACTAACTCCGCCCACCAATGTGTGGTTGGGTTACACAAGATTACAAAAGACACCTTTCAAACGATGACTCCAGTGGCGTAGGTAATAAAGGGCATAATTTTAGCAGTTATTTTTTGGACGTGATCGACCCGAGTTCGAATCTGCCTTTTGCCGAACTCGTTCTTCTCCGTTTTCACATCACGTATCACATCGGAAAGGAATTTATTTTCAATAAAAAAAATGAAGGAAATATTCAAAAAGTGGAAAATAAGGTGCCTCACAGATGTTTATTGGTTAAGGTTAGGGTTAAGTGTAGGGATGGCTTTATTGTCCCAATTTAATATTTTACCACTAGAGGGCGCATATCTTTCATCTTACTGATACCTATACACCTTCCCTTTAAGACACTGCGTTTTATACACCACACGCGCTGGGTCAGAGTGAGCATCCGAACTTTAAAGTTGTGTGCGTTCATGCAGAAAAGTAAGTTTATTTTGCATTCTCTAGCAGAAACATGCATGTCAATAATGTTGATGTTATTGTGATGATGTTGTTAATCTTGTAAGCGCATATTTGCACAGTATTATGTTATTTGTTTATCTACGTTAGGAAGCTAACTTGCTAGTTTCACGTGCAATAGTGCATTGTTATTTAATATAAATCTTGATCTGTTAGCCATTTTAAGATAGTTTGAGATGCTACACTATCATAATTATGAATTTGTAAGAGAATTTCAGACCATTGATGATTATTTATCTGTTTATGTTCAGAATGTAAATGTTTAACATCTGTACTAAGTTAATAGAAAGGCTGTAATATTTTATATCTCATTTACACAATTTTCCTCTATTTCAGACCACACACACATACACACCCCAAATACCCCAATACTTTTGCCTGTATACATTTATGCTCACCAAAGTGGCCTGTATAAACCCAACTCATTAAAGCTTTCTTGGATGTGACTCTCTGAGCCCTTTACTCTCTTACCGGAGTCGCCAGTTTTCAAAGGTCTATCAGAACAATCCAGAGGTTCCACCTCTACAGACACATCATACAAATTTCAACCCATTTGTGACCTCAACCTGGTAACCTACAACCCAGTAGCAGACGCTGGAAGCTGCATCAAGCATTACTGGTAGAAATGGGAGGAGAAGATAGCAGAGACTATTTACACTAACTCCGCCCACCAACGTGTGGTTGGGTTACACAAGATTACAAAAGACACCTTTCATACGACGACTCCAGTGGAGTAGGTAATAAAGGGCATAATTTTAGCAGTTATTTTTTTTGACGTGATCTACCCGAGTTCGCATCCGCCTTTTGCCGAACTCATTCTTCTCCCTTTTCACGTCGGAAAGGAATTTATTTTCAATAAAAATGAAGGAAATATTCGAAAAGTGGAAAATAAGGTGCCTCACAGATGATTATTGGTTAAGGTTAGGGTTAGTGTAGGGATGTCTTTATTGTCCCAAAGTGGCATGCATTTGATAATTTTAATAAAAATTATAATTTATATTGCATACTCTTTCATAATGTGCTACAATAGTGAGGTGCAGATATCTGGCACTATTTGCACCAACTAGTATAAACAGCATTTAAGTACAATTATTGCAAAGAAAATACTCACATTTTACAGTGAAAATAGAATCTATTGCTATTTGCACTTGGTGAAAATAGCTTATCACTAAAAAATACTATTTTCACTTAGTGTAAATAGCATCTGATTGCTTAGTGTAAAAAGCATATATTTTTGCACTTCGGAACATCAGGTGTTGAACTGCAGCGTCATTTTTTTTTATTTTAACTACGTGCGTCGCCGCGCCAACTTCATTCTTGTACAGGTGCTGCGGTACATGAAGTGTTTCTGTTGCTTCATGAAAACGTCTGTATTTGACAAATATTGCATTTTATTCACTTAATCTGTGATAAAGTATGCAAGTACCGTGCAAACATCTCTACGGGAAGCAGAAAATGTCCGACTTCAAGTCTACGCTTTCAATTGACCCATCAGTAAGCAACGCCGTCCTTAGTTGCTATTGCTAACTTGGACAAACAAAAGGAGTTGCTAACTGTCTTACTATGACAGCTGTCAGTGTGAAAACCTTGAAAAAAATTTTTTGATCAATTTTGGACACAGAAGGACCACCATTCAAGTGGGACTTAAATATGCCATGGAGGGATATCTAAAATATCTTAGAATAAATATGGTGGGTAACAAGATTAATTTGGAAGCAAGGGTTTATAGATCACAATGCAAGCAGGAGAAGCCTCATGTTACGGTCATCACAATCGCAGATGACTACATCCAGGATTCATGTACAGCATGCTAAGATTAAATTTACATTTAACCAGTTGAATATGGAGAGGCAATGAAATGTAGACCTTGTTTATGCACACTTTACATGAGGTGAGAAGAGTTAGCTATTTAGGTTGGTACATTAGCATGGACTCACTAACTTTAACGTTAGCTAGTTTAGCCAGAGAACCTTGCAGCACAAGATGACATTAACATTCTGCTTGAGCAGATGAAAATTGTAACTTAATGAGAGTATATGACAACCAGAAAATGAACGGTTTCATCTTCATTGGGATTGGGGTTGAATGCTTAGGGATATTTTGCTCCGTTTTGTTTGGGTTTAGGAAATTGAATAAAATAAATTCCATTGCCCATCCTCTCAGGATACATGGAATCAGTATTACAAGTACCCCAGGCACATCGTTTTTCCATTTTTGTGGCATAAACACCATCAAACCGATGAAAGCTTCTCTATGGCGCTGAAACCTAAAGATGTCCAATTTCCGGTCCCCATGCAGCTGATAGTCAAGGACCATTGTCTCATCTGCGTTCGAAGGGAGGGGCTTGCCGATAGGTCAATTCCGCCCCCAAATGCAAGCTGCAACTCTCGCTGATCGGTCTGCACTGCTCCGCATGAAGTTGAACACACAGCATGAGACCCGGACCTCGGCATTTACAGGCTTATAATAAAAATTAAATTAAAAAAAGTTGTGAAATAACTGCCTAATAACACTACCTGAACACAGGTGCCACAAAGACAATGGACTCTCATCAGAGCTGATCAGCGTTCTAACAGTACTCGTCAATGTCAAAATGACAGAGATGGCCAATCAAATCTATGAAGGCGGGCATTACCCGTTTACAGGGGTGTAAAAAGTACTCAAATTATACTTAAAACAGATACAGAACAGAAAATTGTACAACTTAAAATTTTACTTATTAAAAAAGGATGACATGTATAGAGGAGAAACTGACTGCAGCCCATGAGGCAGATTCATCAGTCACTCCTGACCAGCTGAAAAACCTCCATGAAAAGACAGAAAAATAGAAAGTTTGCAGAAGGTGCGAGAAAAAAGAAAAGAGGAGAGACAGAAAATCTTTCTAAACCGTTTGAGCAAACAGGGAAAACATACCATATGAATAAAGCACTGAATCGAAAAGATCTCCAGTAAGTGTTATGCAAAATTCCCATGACCATTTCAATGACCGCTTCCCTGGCCGCTTCCCTGACCGCTTCCCTGACCCTGGCCATGGCCACTTCCCTGATCATAACCACTTCCCTGACCCTGGCCGCTTCCCTGACCATAACCACTTCCCTGAACCTGGCCGCTTCCCTGGCCGCTTCCCTGACCATAACCGCTTCCCTGACCGTGGCCACTTCCCTGACCCCTTCCCTGACCCTGGCCACTTCCCTGACCGCTTCCCTG